GTCTCTTTCCTTGCAAGATCAGTTCTGCTGTGTGTTTTGTTTAAAAGAAGTGTTTCATTTGCCTCTTCAGGTGGTGTCTCCCAGCTGCAACGATGATGTCACGGTGAAAAAGGATCAGTGCTTAGTTCGGTCCTTTGCAGACTCCAAATTGTAAGTAACAGCTTTTTCCATTAGATGTGTATGGGGGAAAGTGGGAAACTGATTACACATTGCTTATGAAGACAAGTTTTTATCCAAAAGGCAGAGGTACAGTTTTGTGTAACATTGGACACATTGGCATTCGCTGTCCATTTCCAGCTAACTCCTCCTGTGCTTCCTCATCCTTCTTTCCACGCAGGATTCATGGAACCAGGAAAGTTTCTGGTGCTTCTGTAAATAAAAATCAACACCTTAAAAAAAATAACACCTGAGTGTCCTTTTAAAGTATGAATTTTGGGTTTAATGAGTTCCCTGAATGCCATAATGATTATCTTTATGGGTGTCTGTTGTGGCAGTTTGGATATCTGATGGACTCATCCCCTCCAGTGCCCACATGTCCACAGCTGGCTAAATACCAAGGTTTAAATGGGTTTAATCTACTTGTTTTAATAAAAACAGAGAATTTAGAGACTTGTAAATGAAAACGTTTACAGAATCTGAACTAGATTCCTGCAGAAAGAAAGGTCCTATTAGTCCATCCCTACCCCAAAAGGGAGAGGGGAGAGAGGAAGAGACACAGATGTGTGTCTTAAGGAATAATATATTTGTAAGAGCACTAAGAGTGGTTTGGGTTTTGTTGGATTTTTTAAGCTGTTTTCCTTTATTTCTCTTCATCCTTACTTGAGGAGGCTCAGGAGAGACCTTATCACCCTCTACAACTCCCTGACAGGAGGTTGGAGTCAGGTGGGGGTTGGTCTCTTCTCCCAGGCAACCAGGAGGAGGACAAGAGGGCACAGACTCAAGCTCTGCCAGGGGAGGGTTAGGTTGGATATTAGGATGAGATTTTTTTTATGGAGAGAGTGATCAGGCATTGGAATGGGCTGCCCAGGAAGGTGATGGATTCACCATCCCTGGAGTTTTCAAGCTGGATGTGGCACTCAGTGCCATGGTCTAGTAACCACAGTAGGGTTGGACTCAATGATCTTTGAGGTCCATTCCAACCCAGTTGATTCTGTGATTCTGTGGTGGTTTTGCATCTGTCCCAACATACTGTAACCAAAAACTGCCTGGCCAAAGGTCTCCTGTGACCCTCTTTCCTTCCAAGTGAACAGTTGGTGGATGTTTAAGATGATTTTTAGTAGGTTGTGAAGTCATTGATCAGTGAAATGCATTTCAAGTACCTGAAGACTTGATTCAGTTTGGCCTCTTCATGTAGACATGTGTCATCAGTCAGAGTGTCAGACATGCATCACTGGATGTTTGGTGTAGCTTTAGAACAGAGCAACTTCCACATGTTTTGCCATGAGAACACTTGAAATTTGCAGCTCCAAAGCAGCTGTTTATCAGTGCAGATCTGTGACTTGGCTTCACTGTTGTGCTGTGCCATCGCAAATGCTTTTTATAAACAGAGGAGTTGTTTCTTTCCTCTTAGGTGATTCTTGTTTTGGACAGAAACTGCTGATTCACTGGAGTATTTTCAGTTTAGAAAATTATTTTTGTCTGTGTATTTTACCTTTGCAAATTTGTGCAGGTTAAACATTAAAATAAAGAAGCTTTACAAACTTTTCTTCATTTTGAAGGGTTGGTTTTGTTTTTTTTTTTAGTGTGAATTTCAAGGGAAGTTTGGAAACTTACTCTGGGCAACTTACACTTGTATTAGGACCTACAATAAATAAGAAGTGCCTTATGTATTTTGTTCTAGAAAGGACTTTGACAATGAATAGTAAATCTTGAAAATTTTAGAAGTTGTTGTTTTTCTAGGTCAAATTCTTTCTTTTGTGTGATTTAAAGATAATAACAAAACCTTATTCTTTTACAGTTATTCAGTAGCAAGAAAAGACATTAAAGAACTAGATCTTCAGAACTTACCAAAATCTGAGTCCTCTCCTAAGAAAGGTAAGTTAAAATGGTTTTTGGATGTTTATAAGAAGTGACTTCATATAATAGTACTTGAACTTTTGCAGATGAATTGTGACCTGTTGATTTCTGATATTTGCTCTTGGGTATTTTGCAAACAGTTTTAAACAGGATAAATTAAGGAAACTTTCCATGTAGCTGCTACCTTGTTAAAACAGCACCTGACAGAAGTCTTGATTTTTTGATATTTTTTTTTTATCTCCTTTTTTGATCCTCTCCAAATTCATGGAAAATTAATGGAGTATTTTCAAGGTTGTGTATTTGAAATTTCATTGAACGATGGAATCTATAGGTACCTCTCCTAACACTAAGGATTTGTGCTGTTGCTCAAAACACTGTTTGCATTAAAAGTACCCAGACAGCAAGATGTGAGCTGTAGCAGAACAGTCTGCATGTGATTGATTGTTGATTTTAGAATGCAGGTACAGAGTATGATTTCTAGGTGGGTGAATAGATGATGTGACCACAGCAATCCATGTTTCCAGTGAGCCTGTAAAGGCCCAGAGTCTCATTTTAATGTAAATGAGTCTTAAAGTCTTAGTGTTGTTTCTCCCAATCAGACTTCAAAACATGAAATTTGTGAAGGAGAAATATATAAAGTGTATTTATTAAAAATTATAATTAAAACTCACCCAACAACGACCAAACCCACTCAGCAATGGCAGTTCCTCTGGTTGGAGTAAAGGTGTGGAACTGCTTCTTAACAAGTAAATCTTTAGCATGCTGCAAATGAGAACTTGAGGTGGTTTTGTTTGATTAGTATAATTCTTAATGATTTCTCTTCTATTTTCTTCTGAGTAGCTATTTCACAGTAGAGCAGCCAAAAAAAAAGATCAGGTGGCAGGTTTGAGAGAGATTAAAGACACTTTTCTTCCTGTGCAGAACTTAATTGGGTTGTGGCATTCATTGCCATGAGGGAATGTTTGGATCCAAAGGTACTTACTAATGGTTTATTAAAAAAAAGGAGTTGAGACCCATGTCTGGAGGTTCCTCTGTCAGCAGTGGTTATAAACTTGTGCCTTTTCTTCTCCAGCAATGCTGAGTGGTTCATGGCAGTATGTCTCTCTTTTGGGCACTCCTCTGATTCAGCTTTATTAGAGTCTTCTCTTGTGACTGGGGACATATTTTGAGGTTATCTAGGTTTGTTTTGCTTTGGGTTTTTTCCCCTTTGGAGCACCTCATCCAGGAAAAGAATGAGGTGTTCCCATTGTATAAGTGTGACTTCTGTTCTACCTGTCCCATCACTCCCTCACTTTCTAGTGTGATTTTCCTCTGTTCCACACACTAATGTCACATCTCTTCAGGCAATGCTGCCCATATTTTAACAGTCTAAGACATGCTGATGTTTTGGAAAGGGCAGAGTTAAGTCATGGTGTTTGATCTGTGGTGGATTCACTCCCTGTAAGTTGGTGTTGTGGTTTACAAGAGTGTGGAGAGGAAGTGAAAAGTGTTTTGGGACTGTGCATGCTGCGGATGGGGTAAAGGCAGGGCCCTTTCTCCTGCAGGGCTGCAGGAGGCAAGCACATTCCTCAGCACCAGGGGTGTTCCTCGGAACTGGAAAATGGACATCAGTGAAATTCTGGAGTCTTCCAGCAGTGATGAGGAAGATGGAGGTGCAGCAGAGACTGATGAAGAGGAAGAAAAAAGAGAAGAGAAAACAGAAGAAGTACCGGTAAGTCTGGGCAGTTTCATTCATCAGAGATAATTAAGTAACTTGTCTGGAAATCCTTACTTCAGTGTCTCTTCAGTCCTGTTCATCTTCTCTCTGCTACAGTTGTCCTTATTGGGATTTGTGAGCAGTGGCAGGTTGTGTGCTGTTAAGCAAGACAGAAATTGGAGGCAAATCTCAGAAATGAAGAATTGAAGGCAGAGAGAGTGAAAGATTCCAGGTGAAAAGGAAGGGCATAAAGGAAAAATTTATGTGGAGCCTGGTAGTAGTAATCCAACCTTAAATACAAGTGACTTTGTATTTTTCTTCTGTAGTTTTCTTTCTCTGTAGGTTATGTAAAAAGTAGTTTGTTTCTGAAAACAGTAGTTTGATTTTTAAAAAGGGATAAACTATTAAAGCAAAAGCAATAGGTTGACTGAAGGAATGAGCTAATGCAGAGTCAGCTGAAGCTCTTTTGTGCCTGGGGCCCTTCAGAGCAGTACAGGACTGAGCTGCCCAAGTGTTGGGTTGGGAATCGTAGTCCTGCGTGCCACATGCATAGACTTCATGCCTAATATGTTGGGACATGTACAGACTGGGAGAGGAACTCATTGAGAGCAGCCCTGCAGGGAAGGAGTTGGGAGTTCTCATGGATGGAAAGCTGGACATGACCCAGCAATGTGTGCTTACAGCTCAGAAAGCCAATGGTATCCTGAGCTGCATCCTCGTGGGAACAGCAGGTTGTGGGAGGGGATTCTCCCCTCTGCTCTGGTGAGATCTCATGTGGAGTGCTGTATCCAGCTCTGGGGTTGTCAGCACAGGAAAGACAGGGATCTGTTGGAGTGGGTCCAGAGGAGGCCACAAAAATGATCAGAGGGATGAAACAACTTACTATGTCGACAGGCTGAGAGAGCTGGGGGTGTTCAGCCTGGAGAAGGCTCTGGGGAGACCTTAGAGCCCCTTCTGGTGCCTAAAGGGGTTTACAAAAAAGAGGAAGGGGAAGTTTTTACAGAGGCAGATAGTGATAGGACAAGGGTCAATGGTTTTAGACTATTCAGAGGTATTCAAGACCTGTCTGGATGCAATTCTGAACCATGTGCTCTGGGATGGTCCTGCTTGAGTAGGGAGGTTGGACCAGGTGACCCATTGTGCTCCCTTCCTACCTAACTGATTCTGTGATTCTGTAAAACAGAGATTTCGGTTAGGTATTGGTAAGAAATTTTTACTTAGTGGATGGTGAGGCTCTGGCACAGGTTGTCTGGAGAAGCTGTGGCTGCCCCATCCCTGGAGTGCTTCAGGCCAGGTTGGATGGGGCTTGGAGCAACCTGGGCTAGTAGGTGTCCCTGTCCATGGCAGGGGGTGGAACTCAGTGATCTTTGAGGTCCCTTCAAGCCCAAACCATGGAATGTGGTTCTCATAATAACAGTAAAAGGTGGGGGGTTTTTTAATTGGACTATTTTTAGTGTCTTTTTCCATAAAGTTCCCTAGTTTCTTCATCCCATCAAGACTGCATTATAGAATTTCATAGAATCATAGACTCTTAGGGGCTGGAATGGACCTCAGAGATCATGGTGTGCAGGGACACCTCCCAGCAGAGCAGGTTCCTCAAGGCTTCATCCAGCCTGACTCTGAACACTGCCACGGCTG